ATGTATTTGATTGTATTTATCTGCAGTTAGTTACACGAATTCAGATATGAAGCTTTAATAAGTTGTACCTATGCACAATTACTTGTAATCTTGAGTTTTAAGTAATATACATTAATAAACAGYACTTTACGCATAAAAAGTGGTTTTTAAGAGTTTTTGTCAAATAATTTATAATATAGAATATTTTTTTATATACAATTTATTTTTGGTTTAATATTATAAATTTTATAAAGATAATAATTAAGTATTCTGTTAGAATTTAATAATTATACTAATTATATTTTAGATTTTTTATATTTAAAATGAGATGTTTATCCTTGATTTGATTGTGTTTATCTGCATTTAGTTACACGAATTCAGATATGGGATGAAATCGGATAGGGATGAACGAGTTTCAGAGTTTTTAAGAGTTTTAGCAAAATGTTTTATAAGATAGTATATAGATAATTAAATTTTAACAAAATATTAGTTATTATCTTTATAAAAAAATTATATTATTAAAAAAATAACTTCATTATTAAATCTAAATTAAATTATAATAAAAAAATGAATTAAATAAATTACATAAAAAACAATAATTTTTAAATATTTAGTTTGATAATAAAATTGATACATTTTTTTTTCAAAATTTTATGATACATTCAAATTTATATTTTATTCAAAAAAAAACATTATCGTTTTTTCAGTACCACATAAAATCATAATATAATATCGACGAGAGACATAATAAAAACAAAACATTAAAATCGAGATGTATCTTGTTGTATTGTGCAAGCACCCTTTTAGTATTAAGTAAGCATTATTAATTTATAAGTTGAATTGTTTTTTAGCATATTAAACCTCTTTTTAACTTGTAATCAATTCAAGTATCTAAATTATGATAAAATATACCATTCTATAAAGTCTCAATATTTCACTCCACGTACGTTATAAAGTGTTTCGTATCATTTTGATAGGAATATATGAAATGATTAATGTTTACGACACAGGTACTCAATTACGGCGGTGGTTACTTCCGATTAATAACATACCAGTATAAGTTATTATTTATAATTCGTTTAGAATTATTGTATTTTAATTTGCTTTATTTTAACATTGCAAATTTTATTTTATTTTATTATTTTCATTTATTATAGTTTATTTTTTATCTAATAAATAAATTTAAGCAAACAGAACTTTTGGAATCATTTATTCATTAATCAACATAGTTGGTTATAGAACCAGGCCGTGATCGTTGGTTAGGGTTAGATAATCACATATTTATTACAATAATTACTTATGGTTTCGATAAGTTAGGATTAGACAATCACACATTTATCACAACGATTACGGATAAATCCACTAAAAACGATTTGGTGTGATATGGGTGGGATAATCATGTGATATTACTATTATAACATCACTTGTGCACTCAATTTGATTATGGTTTCAATCGGTTAGGGTAATACAATCACACATTTATCACAACGATTACTCATTGGTTTCGATAGGTTATGGTTACACTCGTTTGATCATGATTTCGATAGGTTATGGTTACATAATCACACAATTATCACAAGAGAAGAAAAGATAGTGGAAACGAACATGATCAATCCAGGAAAAAAAAAGATAATTATAATTAATTAAAATAAAATAAAAATTACTTAATTATATTACTGCCTTTATTAACTTATTTATATTTAATATAAGTTAATTTATTAATTAAAAAAATTTGAGATTATTTGGTTGTTCTTGCGTTCTCATAAATCACCGAGGTTCTCGTTTGAACCTCCACCTATATATATAACACTGATTTGAGTGTTTTTAGTGCACACGTGTTTTATATATAAACAATGCTTTTCTTATAAGTTGCAATCAGTGGTTCAATGGTGACTGCAGATCTCAAGTTAAAGTTTAATGATCGTTTTTTCCCTCAAAAATATATTTAAACTTGCAGACTCTGGCTCTAAAGTGACTGGAATTTGCAACCTCAATGTCGTAAAACCCACATATTGATTGTTTACCATTTTAATTAATGAAACTGTTCGTATGAGGTTGGACATATTGGTGCACTCATAGTTAAAGTTTAAATCTCATCAAAGATCAGTAATTAAATTAATGACTGTGGTTTATATATAAAATTATAAATAAATATTATCATATACATTTGAAAATCATAAAGAGAGAATTAAGCTTAATATATGGATGATGCATGCACTTTGAGTTGAAAGAGGGTGTTTGTACATTGCATTAATTAGGTTTTCTACAGCAGAGATACCATACAATTTCTAATCATAATAAACACACAATCACTTGCCCAAAAACTCTTCATTCTTTCACTTCCCAACACTTCTTTCTTGCTATTTACCCCTTGAATGCCTGCAACAACAACAATTATTATTATTATTATTATTTTTTAAATATATATATATAATATTTATATACAGTAAATACTTAAAAGATGAATTTGTAGATTGATCGATGCCACTTACAGCAAAAATGGTGGCGTGACCGGGGTCAGCAAGGTGAGCGAAGAGGTTGTCAATGGGTCCGGTTCCGGTATAGATCGCTTGGAACCAAGCGCCCATCACGGCCAACATGGCCAATCTTCCATTCTTGATCTCCTTTGTCCTCAGTTCCTTGAGTTTTTGAGGCGAGCCACTTCCCCATCCGAGTGGGTCGAACCACAGGCCACCTGGGTACCCGACATCTGTGCCGGTGAGCTTGTTGTTGGGGAAGATGGGGTCGGTGTTAACGCACCCAGGGTTGATAATATCAGCCCATCTTCTTCCTTCGGCCCAACCGATGAAGATAAGCTCAACGATGAACAGTGTGGTTTTGTCGGTGAAGTATTCTTGTTCGCCGGCCGTGTACCATGAAGGAGTGTTCAGGATTCCGATTTTGGTTAGGAATTCGGGGATGAAGATCCCGGCCGCTCCTAACATTGCCCATCTGCAATGTACTAGTTCGGCTTGTTGGTTCCATTTCAAGGTATCGGGATCAGATCCTACGATTAGAATCTCGGCCATGTTAGGAGATGCAAACTAATAAAATACCTTCAATGCTATACGCTTTGGTAAAGTAGCTGATGACTGAAAAGTTAGTTGTCGGCTGATAGACCAACAGACAAGCTAAAATGACAGTAAAAGGAAATACCAAAAATTTAATTGGAAAAAAATGAGAAAATAAATTCAAACGACTTTTCTAATAAGTTCAAAAAATAAACTAGCTTATCCTTGCAAACATGGTTCTTGGTATAATCTATTTGAAAATTCCATTAATAGAGAACCGTAATTTCGATCATGCTTACCTAGACCAAGAGGATCGAAGCCGAAATCTCCCGGTAGGCTGCAGGTTATCGAAACTAAGCATTAGGATCACACAAGTAGATCGAGTTTTGTCACGACAACGAAATCAATTTTATAGGACGTTATATTATCATTAGCTGTCATAACAGACTGTTTAATAACGCTACGTTCTATAGGACCACACGGTTGACATCTTATATAAATGTGTTACAATATATTAATATGACATTTTTGGACATTTCAACAAGTTTGTTTAGGACGATCTTGAAATAAAACATTCTATTGGTATATTATATTAATTGATTATTAGAAAAAGTGTCATCTTAAAAAAAGAAACTAATATGACATTTTATTTAAAGTGTGTTTAAAAACTTGTTATGATGCAGAAATACATCCTATCAGGATACTATAACACATTTATATAGGATGCATAATTGTTTGATCTTATAAACATATGTCCTATAAAACAGTTTATTATGACATATTTGACTTTCATATAAAGTCTTTTTTTATGGTGGTTCTTTTTATGATGACAAAGCATAAACATGTTAATCATTCGGTCGAATCAAACCTGCCATCGAGCCATTCTGGAGGGGTGCTGCCAGGAAACCAAAGAGGTCGGTCAGGGTCGGCTGCAACGCAGACCGTGCCGAACGATCGCGCCCCAGTTGGTGCACTGAACTTGCTAACCCTCAGTTTCTTCCCACCAAGAAAAGAAGCCTTGGTTGATCCAACAACTGATCCACTCTTCTGGGAGCTATAAAAATCACACAAAGTTCCCAATTACTCACATTCTAATCACCAGAAAACCAAAATACTCTAAACCCACATTGCAATAGAGTCATTCAACCCAACAGTATCCAAGTTACTGGTAAATTCTAATCTCCATAAAGGTTAAAGGTTCAAACCTCACGAAAGGTGAACAGTGAGCGTATATATTTATATATATACTTGAAAAATAAGAACTTGCCTTGGAGAAGAGAAAGCAACAGCTGCAATGGCAGAAGAAGCACAGGCTGTGGAGGCCATGGTTTTCTGTGAAACTTGGGTTGAAGATCTTGCCAATGGAGAGGTAGGTTTGTGTGGAAGAAGATGGTTGGTGTTAATGTAAGGGCATATGGGCTTATCTCCAAAGGATAGGAGTAGAAAGCAAGATTGTTGTGATTGGCTGTTTGGGTTGCCAGGTGGCCCCTTTCTGAATCTAATTTGGATGACTTGGCATCAAATCATCTTGGACTAGTGGTTCATGTTGTAAACCGCTACTTGTGGCTGTCAAACTCTTGAGGGCAATTATGTCTTTTACCCCCAACAATTTTCTTGTATTGAAAGATATGTTTAATTTCTTACATGAAAATTGCAATATTATCCATTTGTCACAATCAAGCTTTGATGATCTCTTTATTACCAATTAGGTTTGTTTAGATCTTGATTTCCTTCAAAACAAGATGTCACAGGTTCAAGTCCTACAAGGTTATAGGGGATTTTCCTGGTTGTTTTTTAAGATCCATGGGATCAGTCAAGGTGTACATAAGCTGACCCGGACACAGACGGTTAACAAAAAATAAAATAGTGGTCGTTTGATTTGACGGAATGTTTATGAGTCGTAGGATTTGGCATTACAACAATTTGGAATTGGAAGGATTTGAAATCTTTAGTTTGTAGGATTTAGATTGGAATTGCATGTTATTTATATAAGTAAATTATAAATAATAATAAATAATAATAAAATTAACTAAAATTGATGTTTTAAACATATTTCAAAACATTATTGCAAACAAATATTATTAAAATCCCATAAAATACCAACTATCGAATGGATTTGTAAATCCAATATCCACTGGATTTCCAAATCCAAAACAAAAGATTGGAATGGAACTCAACTTCAAATCCCCACTAGGCATGGGAATGGGGGGCGGGGACCTCAATTCCCATCCCCGTCCCTGACCCTCATCTCCTTCCTTGACCTCATTCTCGTTCCGGCCGGAGAATATGATCCCATCTCCATCCCCATTCTCAACAGGTAACGGGGATCCGCAACGGGGAAATGAAGGTTTTTCTTCTCGTTTATGTAAGCTATTTTAAATCAAATATTTAAGACACCATACATGTTTAAATCTCACATATTTTCAATAAACTTAAAATCAAAAAAAAAATTAATCTAATACAAAAAAAAATCGTGATCATCATATAATAATTAATAACATCAAATTAAAAGAAATTCAATTTAATACCAAAAAAAAAAAAAAAAAAAACTTAAAGTCGCACATACCAAAACATATCGTGTAATATCCAAAACCATATTGAGTAATATTCAAAACATATCGAGTAACTGTAATTTTACTTGATATCCAAAATATTATATACTAACATCCAAAAAAACAAGAATTTTAGATTCTAAATATAACGTTATGAATTACCTATTTAATTGAAATAAATAATATATATTTAATCTTTGAATTGAATAAATATAGAGGAGAATCCATATCCCCGATCAGAGCAGGTGGACCGAGTTCCCCAACAAGTCTGCAGCCAATTCCCATGCCTACTCCCCACCGGTTATGGGACCGAAAACCGGGACCGGTTGAGGTTTTTGGTAGTTTCGTGGGACCGGGACCGGTTATAAATAAATGTATTTTTAAATAATTTTATAATGTATTTTTATAAGAAAACATAATTTTAATTATATTAAAACGCATTTTTAAAGTGTATTTGAGTGACCCAATTGTAAATTTTATAATGTATTAAAAATATATATCATTAAAAAAATAAAATAAAAAATCTTATTTTTTTAATGAAGGACCGGTTGGGACCGGGACCGGTGGCCCATAACCGGTTATAAAGTACCTATACCGGTCCTATCATTTTCGACCGGGACCGGTTATGGCCGGTTATGAAAATGGTGAGGACCGATTGGGACCGGCCCGGGACCGGGACCGGTTTTTGGCCATCTCTACTCCCCACAAACCAAACGGGTACCTAATAATTTCTGTTCGAGTATTTATTTATATATTGGGTTTGGGTAGCAACTTACATGGGCATCAGCCATCAAATATGTTCTTCTTGGATATGGATGTAACCTTGGGCTCTCTCTCTCTATATTGGGCTTTAACTATTATTGCCTTGCCTCGTATGATTGCTTCTAATTCTCGCCCTCGGTATAGCAACATACACAACTGTAAAAAGTCAAACAAAAATACATTTGATAGACGAAATGTAATTGGTTGGTGTTACGGATTAAAAAAAAAACAGTTGATTGAGCTGCGATTTTTCAATACCCAAATAGCAGAATTAGATCGTCCAAATGGCGTCGATCCACCCGATCTAACCCATGTGCATCTTTACTCTCGATCGAACGCAAAAAAAATAAAAATATTATTATATTTTAATTTTTTTTTTAAATAGATTTTGACGGCAGGCTTGTTGTGTTGTATCTTAATGTTGAAGAGATGGGAAAAATTGACATGACGATGTTGGTTTTAAGGTTTCCTTAATCATGATTAATTCCTCGTTTAATTAAGTATCCCATAAAATAATGTTGTCTGGTCTTCTTTTGGTAATTAATGACCAAACATGTTGCCATTTTCTCATTATGTTTCATTAAATCAAATCATTTTTTTTTTACTATTTTTAGTTTATTTTTAATACGTATCTTTTGTGTTTCCTTAATCTATGTGCATTTTATATGTAAAGTATGGTACTCAGAAATATTTTGATTTTAATGTTTCGTTTTATAATATGGTTTTATATGGTTTTTGTAAAAATGATAATGTGTTTATTTTTTAATAAAGTATAAATTTGAAGACCCATAATTTTTTGTATAAATATTAGTATCCATCTAACAATTTAAAAGTTCTTGTTTTTTGTTTAATTTTTAAGTACAATTTTATCTGGATTTAGTGAGGATGTAATTCATTTTAGGTCTAATAATATAATATTTTTTATAAATATAATTTTTTGTTCAGTCTTTTTATTATATTTTAGTTTAAGTTTAATAACGAATTAATTTATTTTAAGTTTGATGATATAATTTTTTACAAAGATAATAATTAAGTATTCTGTTAGAACTCAATGATTATCCTAATTATATTTTAGATCTTTTATATTTAAAATTAGGTTTATCCTGTATTTGATTATGCTTATTAATTTGTTATATGGAATCAAACTTATAGTTTTAAAAGGTTGTATTCATGCATAATTTACTTGTAATTTTTAATAATATATACTATTAAATAGTACCTAACGCATTAAAAATGATTTTTAAGAGTTTTATTCAAATACTTTATAATATAACTAGATTGGTACTCGCACAATGCAACGAAATACATCTCGATTTTAATGTTTCATTTTTTTTTTGTCTCAGTCGATGTTATAATACGATTTTATGTGGTTTTGAGAAAAGATAATAATTTTATTTTTGAATAAATATAAATATGAAGATATGTCATAAAAAAGTGAAAAAATTTGATATTAGTATCAAACTAATTATTTAAAACTTTTTTTTTTTTTTGTGTATTTCTTTAATTTATTATTTTTATTTTTGGTTTAATAATTTATTTTTTATACATTTAATAATTAAGTATTTTGTTAGAACTAAATGATTATCCTAATTATATTTTAGATCTTTTATATTTAAAATGAGATGTTATCATTTATTTGTTATGTTTATCTGCAGTTAGTTACACAAATTCAAACATGAAACTTTAATAAGTTGTATTTACGCAAAGTTTACTTGTAATATTGAATTTTAAGTAATATGCATCAATAAACAGTACTTCATGCATAAAAATGATTTTTCTAAGAGTTCTTGTCATATGTTTTATAATATATATATATATATATATATATATATATATATATGGTAATTGCGGAATGCAGTGAGATACATCTCGATTTTAATGTTTCATTTTATTTTTTGTGTTTATTGATATAATACGGTTTTACGTGGTTTTGAAAAAATGATGATATTTTTATTTTTGAATGAAAATATAAATTTGGCGACATCATAAGAATTTGAAAAAAATATATTGATATTAATATTAAATTAACTATTTAAAAGTTCTTGTTTTTTGTGTAATTTTTTAATTTAATTTTTTTATTATAATTTAATTTAGATTTAAAAATGAAGCAATTTATTTTTAGCTTAATAATATAATTTTGATAAAGATAATAATTAAGTATTCTGTTAGAGCTCAACGATTATCATAATTATTTTAGATTTTTTATATTTAAGATAAGATGTTTATCTAATATTTGATTATGTTATCTGCAATTAGCTATATAAACTCAAAAATGGAGTTTTAATAAGTTGTATTTATGTACAATTTACTTGTAATCGTGAATTTTAAGTAATATGCATCAATAAACAATACTTCGTGTATAAAAAATGATTTTTAAGAGTTTTTTGTCAAAT